CAACCCACCCCTTGACCCCAGGTCATCCCAACACTGGAGGGGAAGAAACTTTTTTCAGGTTATCATAGTTGCAATATCGCCCCAGCTCCAGCCCCAGACAGGGAGTGCTAGAAGGGCAGGTTGGCCATGTTGCCCGGTGCAGGGAGGTAGCCCATCTGGCTGTCCAGAGACATACTGCGCTGTCGCAAGGGGTGGGACACCATGAGGTTCTGCTGGGGCGGGGGGCCCATGAGGGAGCCCTGTGGGGAGAGCATGTGGGGGGGCTGGCTGTAGACCTCACCCCCCACGCCCCGTTGCTTCATCAGCATGAAATTCTGCTGGGTCATGAGGCCTTGAGGAGGGGACATCACCCCCTGGTGCAGGCCGTGGGGCACCATGCCTTGCTGTGGGGCCATACCTGTCCTGCCCAGCAAGGACATCTGTCCGGGGTGGCACATAGACATGTTGAGCCCCCGCTGGACGCCCTGCTGGCCTGGGAGGTTGGGGGCCCGTGAGGGGGTTTGCTCCGCCATCATGTTCTGCAGGTTCATGAGATGCAGATTGGGGGGCTGGGCCTTGGGGGGCTGGTTCTCGCTCTTGGGGAAGTACTGGAGGGTGCTGCTTGGCTTCTCAGAGGGGATGATCCTTGACAAGTCGAACTCGGGGATCCCCGTCGGGGTGGGCCGGATCACCTCGCTCAGCTCAGGGTCGTTCAGCACAGATGCCACCCCAGGGAGCACGCCTGGTGGGTATGTGTCGCCCATGCGCCCAGCCATGCCTTTGCCCATCAGATGCTGCTGGGGGGGCATGGGGCCAGGCGGCTGGCTGGGCAGGTCCTCTGGGGGCAGGGGCATGCCCGAAGGGTAGTGCTGCTGCAGGCCAGGCCCCCCGCCCCCGCCCCCACTGGGAGCCATGGCACCATGGGGCTGCTGCAGCCGAGGGGGGAAGGGCATCATCTGGGAGGAGCTGGGCACAGGGCCGCAGGGGGCATTCAGGGAGTCTGGGCCCCCTGGAGCTATCATCATTGAGTTTTGAGGGGGTCCCCCTGTCCCCTGAGCATTGGGGTGCAGTGGAATGTTGGAACCCAGAGGGGTGGGGGAGGGCAACATGGCAGGCGGGGGCTCATGGGACAGGGGCTGCTGGCCTGGCAGGTTCATGCCCATGGGGCTTTGGGCAGCAGCTGAGTTCAGGTGCATCTGGTTGGACTGGTTATTGCTGATCCCTGTGGGGAAAGAAAAAAGAGGGTGAGGAACTACCTGCACCCAGCTGGTGCCAGGGGTGAGGACTTTCACCATTGCCCTGCCCTGGCTGCAAGGAAAGGGACTTGAGGCATTTAGGTTAGAAGCCCAGAGACCCAGGTTCTGGCCCAGTCTGCCATGGACACACCATGGATTGCTGGAAAGACCACTCGGGTGCCCTGGGCTTAGGTTTCACTAAATGACTATGCCAAGTGGAAACTGTGTCCTGGACATCACTCCCCACTCCTGGGCCCTCGGGAAGCACATAAAAGCCAGCATAACCACAGGGGTGACCGCTGGACATGCCCACTCTCCCCACCCCCAGGGCCCACATCAGCTCTTCTCCCTGTGGTCCCCTTCCCGTCCTCACACCTGGCCCAGAGCCCTGCGGTGGTGGCGGTGGGGGTAGCAGGGGCCGGTCAGGCAGCAGCTCATCGTCTGAGGTGGCGATGGTCTTGATGGCATTGTGGTAGAGTGGGGTGGAGCTGGGCATGGCATACTTGGACATCTGGGACATCATCAATGACAGAGGGTTCTGGGACGGTGTGGGATCTGGGGAGGAAGTGAATGGCAGGCTGGGGTTCATGAGGCCGCTGGGAGGGTTGGCAGGAGGCGCAGAGGAGCTGCTCCGGGGACCGCTAGGCGGGAGGGCACCTATAGAAGTGGGGAGACAGAACAAGCAGGAGTGACTGGGGAGGGGATATGAATCTGGTTGTTCATATTGGTGGTTCAGGAGAGGTCAGCTCCCAAATCTCCACCTGACTGCACCAGGCACACCTCTATCCAGACATCCCACTGAACAAAGCCCTCCCACTATTATCACTATGGCCCACCCTTCTTCAAGCAGTTCTATAGCCCCAAGGCCAGGGCCCCAGGCAGTGGAGAAAGCCCAACTCTGACTCCCTCAGAATGCCCAGATAAACATGCACCCCTGTGAAAGCCTATACCCACTGCCAACATCCCCTCTGCAGAGCTGCCCACCTCTGCACAGATGCCCACCCTACCCCCAGGCTCCCCATGCCAGCGTCCAATGCCACTCACCCAACACAGCTGACTCACCCTGCTCTATGCTGCCCAGCGTGGTGGAAGAGTTCATGCTGAGAGGCGGCTGCTTGTTCTGGGGGACCCCAGGGCTGGGCATGGCTGTCTTGGGCGAGGCAACCCAGCCTGGAGAAGGCACCGCCATTGAGGGAGACTTGAGCCTGCTGGGAGAGCCAGTGGGCGAACGGACACTGAGAGAGGAGCTGAGGACCTGGGGCGACTTGAGAGGTCCTGGCGGGTTGGCAGAAGGCAAGGGCACCATCTGTGAGGGAGTCTGGGGTGACTTCAGGTTGGCAGTGGGCGAGGTAACCAGAGGTGAGTGCACCTGGCTAAGTGTGGGTGACTTCAGGTGCCCCATGCCTGGTGAGCCCATCTGATTAATACTGATGGTGAGGTCCGAAGGTCGTCTGCCCAGCCCCCGGCTTGGGGCTGAATGCACAGACCCTGGAGGAGGATTGGGCGCAGGGGGCAGAGGCATGTGGCTAAGCCGAGTGGTCCCCACGCTGCCCATGGGCATTGAGTTCTGGTCAGGGCTGAACATATCTTGGGTGTTGCCCATGTCCTGTGGCAGGGCTTGGTAGGGTCCCTGGCCCCCAGAGAACCCCTGCTGGCCCTGGTTGGGGAACTGCGAGGGCATCAGCATCTTCTGTGGGCCTCCCACCATGCCACTGCTGTTCTGAGCCCGCACTCGGGCCATGTCCTCAGGACTGAGGCCCTGCGGCCCCATCATGTCCCCAGGGCCTCGCATTTTCTGCGACATCAACATCTGCTGCTGCGGGGTCATCTGTACATTCAGATTCATGTTCATGTTCATGTTCACATTCATGTTCATGTTGAGGTTGCCTGGCCCCAAGGGTGGGTCCACCTCCCTCAGCCCGGACTGCCCCATGGGGGGGCTCAGAAGGCCCCGGCCTCCGCCAAACTCCATGCCCATGGGAGTGCCTGCCAGGCCCTCACCACCAGCCATCTGCCCGGGGAACATAGCTGGCTCCATCTGCCGGTGTGCCTGCATCATCCGCTCCAGCTCCACGCCCTGCCCCATGCCACCACCGCTGGCCATGCCCAGGGGGCGCTGCATGCCCAGTGACCGCTTCTCCAGCAGCTGGTGCCGCAGCAGCTCCTCACGAACCCGAGGGGTCATGAATCGTTCTGCTTCACTCTGCCCACCTGGGTAGGGCACCGGGTTCTGGGCAAAGTTGCTGGGCCCCCCCATGGGGGGCAAGTCTTCGGTCCAGCCCATACCCGGCCTCACAGGCCTCTGCATGGCACTAATAGGCACCTCCATGGGCATGCCCTGCATGCCTCCAAACCCAGGCACCCGTTGCATCTGGTTGCCTGGGAAACGGGGGCCCGGGAAGGAAGGTCCGCCCCGGAGCTGCATGGGATCTTGGACATCCATGGGCCCGCGCAGCTGTGCACCCATTCCGGGTGGCCACTGATCCCCAGGCTTGCTGTGGTAGGGAGGCGGTGGGCCCCTCACCATCATGGCCCCCATGCCCATCACATCTTGCAGGGGACGGCCCCCATGCAGCCCAATCTGCTCCTCCTTCCGCCGTTTCTCCTCATAGTACTCTTCCTGCAGCTTGCGCCAGGCCACCTGCTCGGGCGTCAGGCTGTCCTGGCCCAGCCTCTGCATCATCATGTTCATCTGCTGCCCCATGTCCCCACCTGGGGGGTGCCCAGGCACCTCATGCTCCAGAGGGGGACCCCCTAGGCTCTGTGTCTGTGAAATCATAGACTGCAAGGGCTCCTCATACTTCTTCAGCCCGCTGGGAGGGGCCGAGGGTGGCTGCTGGGGGGCAGGAGGGGCTTGTGCTGGTGGCCCGCCCTCACCTGCTCCTCCCGGGGGACCCTTGAGGAAAGGCTCAGTCTCCCCGCTGCGGAGCAGCAGCCTCTCAATATCTCGAAGTGTCTGGAGGGAGCGCTCCCGGTGCTCTAGCTGCTCCTTGGACAGGCCCTCCGAGCCCACCAGGCTCCGCTGCCCATTTCCTGTGGGGGTGGCCTCCCCTAGCAGTGCAGGGCCAGGGGCACTGCTGGGGTCTCCTCCAGGAGGCAGCGGGTTGTTGTTGGTAGCAGCCGTAGGGGTGTTAGGGTGGGTACCCCCAGTCCCACCGCCCGTGCTGGCAGCTCCCACTGAGTTGGGTGTCAGGTCCTGATTGGTGTCCTCAGGAGGCCCCTCAGAAGACAGAGCAGGGGGGGCACTGCCAGGGGCTGGGGGTGGTGGTGGTGGCAGTGGAGGTGGCTGGGACTGCGGGGTGCCTGCCGATGGTGTGCTCAGGGGTAGCGGTTCTGGGGTGGACAGCACTTTGGGGGCCTGCAAGAGGACAGAGGCAGAGCATGAGGCAGGTAAGGGGACACACCAGCCAATGTGGCTTAGTGGAGACACCATGCCTGAACCAGGAGCCACACTCACCTGGTCAAGCTTGGCCCGGGGCACGTTCTGCTGGTGGTAGGCAAGGATGGAGTCGGCCCGGCCCTGCAGCACGGCCTCTGCAGCCCTGCACAGGAGAGAGCCAGGCACAGATAGCTCAGAGAGGTAGGCAGGAGGGAGCCCTCACCTTCAATCAACCCAACCCAATCCAACCCTGGCCCCCATAGGTGCTCACTTGGGAACCCAGGCTTAGGGATGCTGGGTAAACAGCAAGCTTGGTCTGCCCTGAGGCACTTACGTGTTGGCCAGGTGCGTGGTAAAGACATACACGAACTGTGAGGGCAGCTTTCCAGGGACACCCCCGCCCCCGGGGGCATCGGGCCGCAGGCCTGGTGGGGGCCCATGCGGGGGGCCTGGTGCACTGCTCTCACTGAGGGGAAGTTGGGTGGCTTGGCCGGGACCCAACTGTGGGGCCGCCATGGCAGGGTCTACATTACAATCTGCATGAAAGAGAAAGAAAGAGGGTAAGTAGCCAGGTCTAGAAAGGAAACTAGCTGGCACCCTACCACCCCATCCCAGAGGTGCCCAGGGACAGAGGCTCACTGCTTTAAAGGTGGTGCCCACAGGGTCATTTGTTGCCACCCGCTGGTGGTTTCCCTAGCTCACTTTCCACACATACTTGCCCTAGACCAGTCTTTGACCAGGATGGTAATGGCGGGGACTATGTGGAGCGAAAGGAGAGGGAAAGTGTGACCCTTATGAACCGGCTCCCCCGTGATTGGCATCCCAAATGCATGTGATTCCCCCAGAGTCTGCAAAGCCTGCTCTTAGACCCGCTCNTGGAAGAATCGGGGCCCTGGGGGTACCTGGCCCAGGGCTATTGCAGTGGGCGCAGGACTACCTGGGCCGCCATGTCACTCCTCCATGGCTCCACTCTAGCGAGCCACACAGCCTCCGCCTTTCTCCTTTCCTTCACCCCAGACTGGGGACTAAGGACTTCAAGTTCTGCCTAAGATGTAGCAGCAGGGGACACCAAACATCCACAACTAGGAAGCCAGGGGCCCATGTCACCTGTGTGGGGCAAACACAAATGCATGCACACACGTTCTCCTGAATCACTCAGCACAGACAGGCTGCTGTCCGGAGGTCTCAGCCCTGCCTGGCCCAAGGCAAAGCCCAGGTGGTCTGAGCTCAGTTCAGGTGTGAGCTGTCATTTCACCATCTGGGGAGGAGACCAGAATGGTATTCATTATGGACCCAGAGATGCTATTAACAGTGGATAGGTGTGTCAGACTGCACATCCCTGGGTCCGAAGGAATGGAACGGGCAGTAATTTGAAAGAAGGGGAAAGGGTTTCTTGTATCCCTTTTTTGTGTGACTTCTATCAAAACACAGAAATACAGCAAACACACAAACTGGCACAAAAGCGCAGCTCTCTATTTACAGCTACGGCTGGCACCTGCCCATCTGGCCAGCCGCCTGCAGGGAAGGGTGGGAGAGGGGGTCAGTCACATCAGCAGGGAGGAAATGAGGCAGGAAAAGGAGAACCAAGTGGGAATAGAAACACCAAGAGAAGGAAAGTGGCGCTGGAGCACCGGAGAGCAGCAGCAGGAAGGAAAGGGCAGAGAAGGGAGAGTTCACCTCCCCTGCCTCTCCCCGCAAAGGACTCCATACAGGACTCAGAAAGCATCGCTGAATGAGGGTGGGTGCAGACACAGGGGAAAGAGAGGCTCCATAGGGCGTGGGGGAGTGGGGGAGGGGCAGTCTGATGGCCAAAATGGAACAAACCCCTACCCAAAGCCCCCCACCCCACTCTGCCATTCCCACTAAGCTGCCAGCACATCTGGTTGCCACAAATGCCATTCCCCACACAAGCCCCCTCCCACCCCCTCAACCCACCCCT